GAAGTGTCTGTTCAGATCCTGTGCCCATTTTTTTATTGGATTATTTGCTTTTTGTTTGTTGAGGTGCATGAGCTCTTTATATATTTTGGATGTCAACCCTTAATCGGATCTGTCATTTATGAATATATTCAAATGAGTCATATTTTTTAACTCACATTCAGGGAGATGATCCATTATAGATATTTGTACACACCCAAGCAACCAGTTTGAGTTCTTCCACTTTTTCAACTTTTAGTGTGGCACTGGCAGACACAGCTTTTAAAGATCAAAAAAACAAAAATCACTCAATAAGCACCAGGCGCTTTCGCAAGCACTAGGGCTACAATAGGATATAATCCCTGCCTTCAAGGGTTTACAATTTAGTGAAAAATAAGGATAAGTAAACAAGTGATTAAACTAGTGGTAAGTAATCTGAGGCCTGATGGATGAATAAGCACAAAGTAGGCAAACGTAAATGTAGGGGTGTGTGCAGACTTGCACATGTGTGTGCATGGGGGAGAATGTTGGTATGGGTGAGAACAGAGAAAAATAAAGGATTACTTAATAAATAAGATGGGAGAAAGCATGGAGGCAAAACAGAGGATATACTTTAGAAAGATCATTTGGATGCTGTATGACAGGGAGAGATTGTTACAGTGATTCATGTAATAAACAACAGGGACTAGAATAGGATGGTGAGGGTGGAAAGAAACAATGGGTTCTAGAGATATTTAGAAGGCAATATTGATCAAATTAGTCATGTATTGGATGTGGTAAGTGAAGGAGAAAAAGGAATAATTGGATGACACCTTTATTTCTGGGGCAAATAGGCAAGTGGATGGTAGAGCATGTGGATAGAGACTAGAGAGATAACTCTGGTGAAAATACAGATACAGAAACCTTGGGATTAGATAACATGAGCCAGAGAGGAGAGGGAAAGTGAGAGGAGGAGGATCATCCTAGACAGAAGCCTGATGACTTATGAAGAACAAGTCAAGGAATGGGAGCCTGAAGATGGAGAAGGAAAAACAAGAGGCTGAGCCACAGAAACCAAGGGGGGGAATATGCCTTTGATGGTTAGTGAGTATGGACTGGAAGAATTAATATTGTTATTATAATATTACTGATCATTCTATCTGAATGAAAAATATTTTCATCCCATAACTTATTTATAACTGGAGGTTTGTACCATGTAATACTCTTCACCCATTTTGCTATTTCCCCTATTCATCCTCCCCTCTGACAACCACCAGTTTCTCTCTATATTTATGAGTTTATTTATTGTTCATTTGTTTTGTTTTTTAGTTTCCACAAAGAAGTGAAATAATATGTTACTCTTTTTTCTCTGTCTGATTTCAAGCTATATTACAAAGCTACAGTAATCAAAACAATATGGCACTGGCACAAAAACAGACCTACAGATCAATGGAACAGAACATAGCCCAGAAATAAACCCACACTTATATGCCCACTTATTCTAGGACAAAGGAATCAAGAATATACAATGAGGAAAAGAGAGTCTCTTCAATAAATGGTGTAGGAAAACTGGACAAGAATGAAAAAGAATGAAACTGGACCACTTTCTTATGTAAAAATATACACCAAATAATATATATAAAAACATACACAAAAATAAAATTTAAATAAAGACCTAAATGCAAGACCTAAAGCCATAAAACTCCTAAAGGAAAATATAGGCAGTAAATTCTGGGGCACTGGCATCAGAAATTTTTTTCTGGAATCAAAAGCAAAAATAAGTGGGACTACATCAAACTAAAAGCTTCTGCACAGCAAAGGAAAACATCAACAAAATGAAAAGTCAACCTATGGAATGAGAGAATGTATTTGCAATGATATATCCCATAAGGGGTTAATATATAAAGTATATAAAGAACTCATATAACTCAACACTAAAAAAAAAAAAACAAATAATCTGATGTAAACATGGGGAGAGAACCTGAATAGAGACTTTTATAAAGAAAACACAGATGGCAAAGGACACATGAAAAGATGTTCAACATCAATAATCATCAGGGAAATACAAATCAAAACCACAATGAGTTATCACCTCACATACATTAGAATGGCTATTATCAAGAAGACAAGAAATAACAAGTGGCAAGGATGTGGAGAAAATATGTGCTGTTGGTGGGAATGTAAATTGGTGCAGCCACTATGGAAAACAGTATGGAGGTTCTTCAAAATATTAAAAATCAAACTGCCATGTGATCCAGCAATTCATTTCTGAGTATCTTCCTGAAGGTACTAACTGGAAAAGACATATGCACACTCCCCATGTTTATTGTGGCATTATTTACAATAGCCAAGATATGAAAGCCACCTAAGTTTCTATAGACAGATGAATGGATAAAGAAGATGTGGTATATAAACATAATGGAATATTACTCAGTTATAAAAAAAGAATGAATATTGTCATTCATGACAACATGAATTAATTATTAGAGGCTACTGTGCTAAGTGAAATAAGTCAGACAGAGAAAAACAAATATGACTTCACTTACATGTGGAATCTAAAAAGCAAAACAAATTAACAAAAAATAGGCCTATAAATATAAAGAAAAACTGGTGGTTGTCAGAGGGGAGGGTGAGTAGGGGAAAGGGCAAAATGGGTGAGGGGTATTAAGTGGTACAAACTTCCAGTTACAAATAAATATGGAGGTGAGAAATTTTTTATTTTTCATTCAAATTTTTTTATATTTCCCTATATCATGGGGAATAGTCAATATTATTATAATAACTTCGTATGGTGACAGATGGTAACTACACTTCCTATAGTGAATATTTTGTAAAGTATATAATTGTCAAATCACTACGCTGTACACCTGAAACTAATTTAATATTGTATGTGAACTATACATTAATTAAAAAAGGAAAATCTATTAACTGGCCATTTAAGTTTTAGTCTATGAAGGTACTTGACTTGCCACATTTAGAAAGGTAAATGATTTTATGAAGAGTAAACTTAGCCAGACCTAATATAATTTCCTACTGTAATTACATAGTGGCCATGAAGGCATGGGAAAAAGAAGTAGCCTTCATTACGTTTCCACAGTTTAAAGATAAAGTGTAAATGGTCCTCCTGTTAGGTGGGTCCATGAGACATGCCTGTAAAGCCATATGTAGAGCAGGGCAGTCAGTAAGTTGGAGGGAATGATGAATAGTACGGCCCAGGGCACAATCCTAGGCTATTGCCATTTTACATCTTCATTAGTGGTCTGTATAAATTAACTGCATTCACAAGTTTTAGTTAATTAGTTAATGAGGGAGAATCAGCAATACATTGGAATATGAAGATTTAAACTGACCTTGATTCAATAAGACGAGAATCCATTGAAATAAATGTCATCCAAAAAGAACAGGTATACCTGTTGAGTCTTTCAACAGGTATAAAAGAAAAGGTACAACTTAGAAACAAAAAGTAAAATGAACAGATTTTATACAGCAACACACACTACATATATTAGTTTATTATTACTTAAATATGATGATGATGATGGTGATGGTGATGATTATTATTATGTAAAAGTTGTGTGAGCAAAAGTGTGCTACCAGCCCTAAATCACATAGAGCTGACGACATTCCTACAGTCAGCACACCCACCCCTAAGGGACTGGAAAATCCAGCTTGACTCTCAAATTTCCTCTCCTCTCTACATAGTTCTTAATCTTTATTTGAAAGGATTCATTATCCAGTTCTAACTGAAACTTTCCTTCTGTTTTTATATCATTCCGTAATTTTGCAACTGTCATCAGTCTTCAGCTGGCAGGAGGTGCATAAACAGCATCCCTACCGTGTTCCTTTTCTAGTAGCCTAGACAAACAGCAGTCTTGAACACATACAGAGACTCAAGAAGAAACTGTAACACAGTAGAAGCCATGAGTTCT